GCCTTCAATTAAAAAATCTGAAAAAATTTGAGATCATGTATTTTGATGAACAAAATGAGAAAAAAATTTTTCCAGATTTTTTGAGGCTCCGTAGCGCCTTAAAAAAATTATTTTAGTGAAAAAAAGTGGTTTTTCAGCTCTAGGCTGAATGGACATGAATGAAAAATTCTGAAAAAATTCAAGGAATCGTTTTTTGACGTCAAAATTCAGAAAAAAATACTCCGGTCTGGTACATCGAACCATTTCACCGAAAATAAAATAATTTAAATTTTCAATGATTTTTTCTGAAGGCCTGAAGCACTCGAAAAATTTGAAAAAATTCAAAATTGTTTGGATTGTTGAAAAGTACCTTCATGAATTTTTTCAGGTTTTTTAATAGCTTTAGGCCTTCAGAAAAAATATAGATAGAAAATGGACGTCTATAGGGAAGGAGGGGGTATGAGGGAGGAGGGGGTCCAAAATTTTGGTTTTGGCACTTTTTTATCATGTACTATAACATACCAAAATTTCAGGAAAATCCGTGAACCTCGCCCGCAGGTTTATTTGAAAAATTCTAAATCTGACCCAAATATATAATTATTTAAGCCCCCTTTGAGCCCTTAATAAATTTTTTTTATTTCTTGATTTTTTCACATATAATGGCATACAAACTTTTTTATAACTCTAATCAAAATTCCACAAAACTCAGCCCATAAAGGATACTTTTCTGAAGATTTTGATTCCTATTAGGCATTGCCACCTAAATAACTCTGATCTGAACTTTGCACACAGGGCCGAAAGGCTAAAGTAGCAAAAATATGTTATTTAAGGTGCAAAGGACTATTCTGCAACTTTTTTCTCATTTTTTAGAGCTCACAGTTGTCAATTTTATGTTGAAAATGTAGATTGACATTATACTGTAGTTTATATTATAAAAATGACAAAGAATAGTGAATAGGTGAATAACTCCCCTTAAACAAGTTTTTGTTCTCGAAATGTCATAATTTTTTTTTTTACAAAATTGCTAATAAATAAATTATAAATTGCTCCAACTCTTTTTGTCTAATCAATATAAGAAATTACTTAGAGTTCATGGATGATTGCAAGCTGAATCAAATAGTGTATCGCTTTATGAAGAAACGCGTATGAAAAAATGTCGATTCCAACTACAAAAGAAGCCATCCCGAACATGTTTATAATACCTACTCCATATATTGCTTACAGGTCCCGTGCTTTCGATACCAATATTTTTGTCATGTGCCCTTTCAAGTCTCTTTCCATTTTTTTTCTGTTTTGGCAATAAAGTCTATGAAACTGATGGGGAAGTAAAAATCAATCTTTCGAATTCTATCGGGATCCAGTCGTAAAATCAATAAAATTTTTGCGCGCAAGATCACTAAAAGCAGTGCGTCACATACGCACGCGTGAAAACCAATACGCATCCACTATATGTAATAAAAGTGACTTGGTTAAAGAATTTTTTTCCGACGCTGCACTACTTGCTGCACTCCAGCTGCCTTCGAAGTTTTTTTATTAAAAAAAAAAAAAAAAAAAAAAAAAGAAAACTTATCATCCCCGTGTCACGGCACATACGCATTCGCTCTTTTATAGGGCGTTTGTTCCCTGTCTCGCGCGTACGACCGTTGCGCGCTACGTATGGAAAAAAGTCTTTGCTCGAGCTTGCTAATCTGTCGAATACAGCAGATATGCACGTGTGCGTGTCTGAACGACACAGAGGCTCCGGAGAGAGTCGAAAAACGTGCCGCAGCGTTGATGCACTGGACACGAAACGTCGACGTAATACGGACACTTGGAGTTGGTCTAGCACGCCGATGACAGAAGGCTGAATCTGCGCAAAAGCACATATCCAATATAATACTGTCGTATAAGGATCATTGCAGAGATCGTCCACCACCCTTCGCTTGCACACACGTGCGGCCGTATATGCGGACGTGAACTTGTGGATAGATACCACTGCAGGCTGCAGCAACAGAAGCAGCGGACCCGTTAGATATCACGCGCGAGCGCAACGTGTGTTCGAGCTTTCCAGCTGGGTAATTTAATCAGCAGAGAGAGAAGAGAGAGTGGAAGATCGAAAAGGGACTTGGAGAAGTCATGGTATTGAGGTGTACGTAAAATTTTGCAAGACGATGCAATAGTATACTGTAGAAATGCATGCCACCTGTGTTCGCCCAATCGAATTGGACTTGGCGCAACGACTCAAAGCTCGAGCTCGGAGAAATAACTTCTTAAGTAAGCTCATTTCATTTGCTTGGCTTGTTACACTGAACGACGACTGCGAGATCTCACCAGCAATGATGAAATTCACTTATTTATTGCTGCACGCGATACGAGACTTGAGCATCGAACTCGGGGCAAACTGCTGCTACGCTAATAATTCCTTCGACGCGTGTCATGCACCGGTGCTCATCGTTCGTAAACACGCGCGCTGTGCAGTGCATCGCTGCCGCAAGGGCTGCTGCTGCTGCTGCTCAAAGGCAGGCCATGCGCGTGAATACACATCACCGCTCGTGTGTCGTGCAATCATGCGCTAGTCTATAGCTGGTTATTTTTAATAATATATTCTCTGTAACGATGTCGACGAATAAATCAAATCGAGGGCACAAAATTACCAAGTGCAAACGATTCACACTCAATTCATCAGGTACGCAAGATGTCTCTTTAAATGATTGAATAAATTAAAAATGCCGCTCGGCAATAATACTATGCGACGGCCCGAGAACGAACTTGCGGTGGGAGACTTTTACGAGCTCTCGAGTCTCTCTCGCCAACTCCCCTTTACGCGGAAGGCCTGCAGCCTCTCGTTTACAATCCTACGACAGTCATTCGGTGGATGCTCTAGAAGCTCCGCAATATAACGAGTAACTGCCTCCTGTTTCTCGCGTGCGCGACTCCCCGCGTGCGGCTTTCAATGATGCTACAGCACTGCGCCACAAAGCAGAAAGCAAAGCTCCGAGAAAAGGGAGAAGAAGCGTAATCACGCGTACGCATCTTTCGCACAGCTCGTTCGTTCGGCCAAACGCGCGCACACTGAAGTTTTTTTTCAAGGAAAAAACATTGCGGCCTCACCGCGGTGCTCGTTTGTCTTTTATCGCGTGGCGAAATCGATCTCCGGGCTCGCGAAAACAGCTCTTATAGTCGCAGAGAGTGCAGCATCTATATAGACATATTTTTCATATAGTATACCGAAAATGGCATTGTTTTATTTTTGTTTCATAGCGTACTTGGACTGAAAATACAACAATACGGTCGTAATTGAGACTTGATTTGCTTTTATGCGCGTAGATTTGATTATAGTTCTTATCTAAAAGAAAGACTTTCTTCCGTAAAAATATCGTTTAAACTTGAAAGTGACTCGATGCTAGTCCATATCCAACGACTTTATAAACTATATAAAATATTTAATTATGACTTTCAATTTCTTTAAACGTGATCGAACTAGCAAATCAAGGATAATTTATCAAGTTAAATTTCATAAAAGCTGTCAATATCAATTGCTACAGTTGCCGCGTTGATGCACGGCTGCTACATATATACAACACGCATACTGTCCGATTCAAATGACTATCGAGAGCCGTATACATAGCTGTGCGCGCGTAAAAATATGATGAACGGCATTCGATGAGCATCAGGCGCAAGAGGACAGAAAAGTCAAGATTATAAGCTATATTCGCTAGTGTGGAAATGGGCGATAAATCTTCGTCGCTCGGGAAAACGGTGATCGAGACTTTCTATCGCACGTCATCGTCGTCGTCGTCGACGCGGCAGTAGTCGCAAAACGGCGTCAGATAAAATTGCGAGATGTAAAGGGATGCGCGCTTGGCTCCCGGAGTGCTGCTGCACGTGGGTGGCATCGAATAGCAACCAGAGACTAGCAAACGGAATAAAGATCGGATAAAACAATTGCTTTTTGATTGATTCCGACTCGATCGCTCGTCTTTTCTTTTTCTTTGACGACGAGATTCACGCGCAGTCTCTCCCTCGAGTTCCCGCGTCGAGTCACACGAGAGCAGCAGCAGCAGCAGCACAGCTCTCTGCAGGCTTTATTTGATCCACTTCCAGCCCCAGTTATACTGAGAACGTGAAGAGATATGGTTTCGCATCGTCGATGGCGACGACGAGTGAAAAGGAAAATTAAGCGATCTCTGAGCCGAGGCTGAATGATTTTAATAAAAAGAATTATACGTGACAATGGGCGAACGATTGAGCCAATCATCACCCGGACCATCATTTTCCCAACTGATTCAACTTGCTACGTATTCATTCGATTCTTCGATCGCGATCAAAATACATCGTAGCACGGCAATAATGAAACTCGATATAGAAACTGACTCTTACGTTTGCTAAAAAAAAATGGTTTCTTCTCCAGATTACCGCTCGATTTGGGCTGGTGTTACACGCTCACGCCAACGAAAAAAACAGTATATGAAACGACGCTTGCACTACGGATAATCATCCTTTGGGAGCAACACGCGCCCCCGATGAGATTAAGTTGACGCGGGAATTTTTAGGCTGAAGTTGAAAATGGACTAGACTCAGCAGAAGAAGAAGCTCGATGGATTCTCTAATAAATGTACCGTAAAATGCGAGCGCGAAAATGATGTTATATCCTATATCCAGAAACGAAACGATTTTTTCCCCTAACCAAGCTGCGCTCGCGCTTTCTTATCTCGCGTCGACGCGGTCGATGAAGCGATTTCCACTGCGCCTCATTTCTTCGCGACGGACATATTTTTTGGGTTATATGACACTGTGGCCCTTACTCGACTCGGAGCGAGAAACTTTCTTACTCAAAAACTAATTGAAGATTTCTGGCTACTATATAAGCCAGAGTTTGTTCCAGAATGTTGACGAGGGCTGAGTGATTAATTAAACCATCAATTTTTTTGTGTAATTTTATTATAAAATATATTAATGCATATAACATTTACATAGTTATGTCGAGTATTTTTATATAATATCGTATATACAAAATTGCGCATGATTCCGAGCTTAGTGGCTCGTTTTTTACGTGTATAAAAAAATTAATCAACTCATTTTCATGCACAGTACTTCATAACAATTTTTACCCGAAACTATCAGTACCTTACAATAGTTGTAAATGTATTCATATATGTACAAGTACATATATTTTCTAATAATATTTTCTTTTCTGTCATTTTGAAAATTCATCCTTCTAAGATATTATTTTTCTTTCCGCTTTTCATATTTTTTAACATCATTTTAACATCATTAATATTTTCCACGCATAGATCGTGGTGACTTTCAATATAAGGGGTTTTTTTCTGTCAGAGTCAAAGAATCTTGACGTAAAAATTTCTCTAAGTTTTACATCAGACTATAAATAGTTTGATTAATAGCTCTATTTATTGTGTCGCTTCTCTTTTTTAATCATTGACAATAATCTGTAAAATTTATGAAATCAATACGTGCTTATAAACAATGAATCTTTCCTATGACAAGATACTTTTTATATACCCAGATAAAAGACCCGAACAAAAGTTTGATTTGATTCAAGTTATGGGTTCAATATAATATCACACTCAAAGTCTCGTATAAAATTTTTTGCCTCTAAAAATACAACTTGAACGAATGTCGACGACCATTTAACTTACAATCTTTATTATTTCTATAATAAGTTTTGATTTCTGCTTGTACAACTCAAACGGAATAATTTTACAAGAAAAAATCCAACGACCTATTAAACAGTCAAAAACAAATGATGGAGGTAAAACTTACATACTTACAGTCCTAATTTTATAGCCATTTCAAAGTTTTATTTGCCATTACAGCTGCATTCAGGTCTTAACTTTTCTGAGAGAGCAAACACATCTCTCGCTGAGAAGTTATTTCTTTTCCCCCGAATCATATGTATAAGACGTACATCAGTCGAACTTTTTTTATCGTTACCCACCGATACATAACTATAGATATAGCAGTCGAAAGCTATCACAGGAAATGTCTCTCCTGGAAAGAACTTCAATTTCATATAGCACATAGCTGAAATTTTTTTTACCAGTCTTTTGAAATAAGAAAATGATGTAGAAATATCGATTTTTTCGTCTTGGTCATTTATTACTTTTGACCTCGTTTACATTTATTCCTCTATTACAACTAAATGTTGGAAAAATCCAATCTACCAGTAGCTATATACTTTTGACTCGAAACCTTGTCAACTGTTACAAGATTCCGTTCAGCTGCTACAGTTGTCAGAAAAATAAATGAACTTTGGAAAGTTAAGAAAAAAAATTGTTCGAATTTGCAAAAAAATCTATTAAAACTGTGAATTCGAGAGATAGTGTTTATACGTTCATTTCTTTTCACTCGACATCAATGTACTTTCGACGCAATCGATATTACTTTTTTTTGCAAAGAAACTTTGAATGACTAAAATATTGAAATATTTCACAATATTCCAAGATCTATGTCATCGTGATTTTCAGAAACCGTAGCTGAAATGCAAAAGATGATCGTGTTTTTCCTCCCTCGTTCGAGAACTATCGTTTTAATTGGAAACACGTAATGAATACGTCAGTTTACATTCAATCCGTAATCTTACGTCAAAGTTTCAATCTGTGCGACGCACAACTCTCGATTTTGTTCCGTAGAGAAAGGGACACGGAGTCACACAACTGTGCGAGAGAAGTTTCGATGTTAACATTCTGAAACGATTAAAAACTTTGCAGTATTTTGATGTGCGTTGCACGTCAAAATTTAACTCGATGTAAACTCGATCGATTCGGAGAATCTTGGCATATTGAACATTGTCGATTCTAATTCAACCGAGACAACTATGACTATTCTAAACTTTCGCTTGATAGACATATATGCTTATCAAGTTTTATTATCGGTACGCACCCATATACGAAGAAGTCTCGAAAATGAAAATTGCAGCTTTTGTTAGAACTGAGTAGTGTAACCCGTACCTCAAAGTTGTCGCTGTCAGTTGCACTAGTGGCGACTATTATGCTTCTCGACAAGTTTTCGTCTCTGCTTGTTGACGAAATAATAACTTTTTCAATAAAAAACAATCAACAATCTCCGTAATAACGTACGTTGACTAACCATGTATAGATTGGCAGTGTAATATAATCGTTCAAGTTTTCTTAAACCCCTTATTAATTGATAAATTCGTCGTTATCAATGTTTATGATTAGTACCTATGACTCATTTGTTCTTTTTTGCTTATAAATCTGCGACATCGAAAAAACGATGCCTTTTTTCTTTATTTCACACACTTAATAATAAATCTCATTTGACTTAAAAACTATTTTGATCAATTTTTAATTTATCGATGATCGATCAATCGATTATCGGGCTTACTCTAGTTCGTTCTTCATGGAGCGATTAATCATCAGATTGTTTTTCCAATATCGCCTAAGCTAATATACCAAAATAATTATAGAACAACTAAAGCCATAAAGAAAAAGGTCAAAAAGCAAGAGTCGATTACAAAAATGAGAAACTTCACTTAAACTAAAGCTTACATAGAAGTTGCATAAGACAAATATCCACATTAAAGGGGTTGGCATGAAAAATGTTTTTGCAAAAATCCGACGTCGATCTTTCTCGCTCATTTGACGATTAATGAAAAGTATGCGCGACAGCATACACACTGCGCACTCACGTATTGAGCCACTGCGTACGGGAGCAGCTTTACCCCAGGGGAATTATTAGCCGGCGCGCCGGGCGAAGCGAAAATGCTATAAGTTCAAGCGGTCTGTCTTTAACACGGGTAGGCGACGCACACACACACAACGAGACATAATTTATTTTAATGGTCCAGGGCTTTCAGAAATAACTGCTAATTAATTGAAATATGCACGATATAAGGTAACACGATGTAACCCGACTCCTCTCTCTCTCTCTCTCTCTCTCTCTTTGCTACCATATAATTTAGCGATTAAGAGCTTCTACGCGATAATAATAATAATTTTAACAGACACCCGCATTATTTTTCAGTTACTCGTGAATACATGCGCTACGCATGATGGAGAGAGGGACTGGAAAATTAATTCAACGGATCACAAATATGACGTTTATAAGAGAGAAAGAGAGTACAAAATGCACGATAATTCAAACTTTTAAAAAATGCAACTGGATAAGAGAGATGGCATTATTATGAGCGCGCGTGCGAGTCGAAATTTTCATCAGCGAATTTTACTCTCTCTCTCTCTCTCTCTCTCTCTCTCTCTCTCTGCTTATTATTCAAATGAGAATCAGCGTGCGACAATTATCATTACCCCAGAGAGAGCTCGCTACTACACGCTGTTCGCAGCAGCAGCAAGAGTATAAAAAAAAGGAAGCCAACTCCGACAGCGCAGCACACGATATCAGCTCGGAATCGTTGCCTCTATCCTTTTTGTACGTGCAAAAGCTTTCAGGCGTCACCCGGCACTAGCTAGAAGCTAGCAGCAGCGCGAGCTAGTGTGGTACCAGCAGCGGCAGTAGTACTGGTACTAGTCGTCCTACTAGTCGATTTTTTTTTCTACTCCATCCGTCGAAAGAGAGACCGAAAGAACTCGCAATAGCACACACCCTCGCTCGCGCGTGTGTATGTTCGGACTAGCAGGATTTATTAAAATCCTACGTGACCACCGGCGCGGCTGCTCGAAAAGGACAAGAAAGAGAGGAATTGGCGCGCACATAGAAAAAATCGTACGTACTATTGTATTAACCAGGAACCAATGCGTATACCTATACGCCTTCGCGAGTTCTATATCTGCGGCTGTGCAATATATACATGTATAATGAATGCACACATAGATCCGTCTACCGTTGCCGCTGCGCTATAGTATGGCCGAACGACAGGCACTTTTCATAGATGAATTTATTTCTATTTTTTTCATTTTTTTTATTTCATTTTGTTTGTTTGTTCTTTCGTTCATTCTTTCCACCTTTAACTGGCCATCGGCTAGTGGCCAATGGTAGTATAACGCTATATGAAATTCTGAAGGGGCTGACTGCGGACGTGTCACAAGCCATTCGAGAATTTCATGCGAGTTGCCATTCTTTTCATCTCGATAATTGATATGAAACATTTTTGTATTCTCTCTAAATTTTTTTGGAGCAAATCGAAGAAGAACAAAAAAAGATTCAAGTTTCTTTCCCTGCAGTTATACGAAACAGTCGAAATGACTTATTAGTATATCGTGAATATTACAAATTTTGTTAGCTCTCTTTGCGTGTAGCAATCTAACGAAACCGAATTGAAGTTATTTTTCGCGAATACACGCGTTTATAAGCGGAGGCACCCGCACACTTGTACACATGTTTTGTAGAGTTGAAGCATCGAAAACACAAATTTTAATCGTTTCACTGTGCCCTCGAAAAACGGCTCGCACGCAAAGTTATATTATTATTCATTTTCTGCAACGATCGTATGTAATGCTCAAAACTTCATTGTCAGCCAAACATAGGTACGCGTGGTGCTCTCGTACAACCATGAGAAATTCGCTATTCGACGCGTATTATATAGCTTCTATGCAACGATGACCCCGGCCGGTCCTGAAGAATCGTTCGCGTAATAAGCTCTTTGAAGATTATTACTCTGGAAACTAATGAGCGTGTGCCTGGGCTTTGTTAATGAAAATTATTCACCGAGCACGCGGCCACGCAAAACTTTTCGACTCGTGTATAGCAGCAGCAGCAAAACTGCGCCACGCGCGCGCGTGCACGCAGAAAAAGCAATTGCCCGGCAGTTACACGGATGAATTTCGGAAAAGCAACGAGACGGGTGCAAATGAAAATTTTCGGGATATGTAAAGCGCGCCCACAAAGCTCGCGTTATGCGCCCCAATCGCACAAAACATATACCGGTTTTATTCCGCGTTTGAGCGCGGGATATCAACGTTTTGCTTGAAATTCCTCAAAGTCTTGCTCGATTTTTGAGCCGCGTGGATTATCGGTATTTTAAATATTCATTTCAGAAAATACGTTAGTTGTCAAAGTAACGCGGGTCGAATAAGCCATCCGTCATATTTTTCCATAATGCGCAATCATCCGCTGATCCCCGAAAATAGAATGGGCTTTTGTACATTATATAATAGCGTATGATTTTGAGCGCGAGAGCAGTCGGCGGTGGTTGGTTATGTATAGTGATAAATTTCCCCTGCGCTCTCTGCACCGATGCTATCGCCCAAAGAATATCATTTCCCCGCGTACTCGAGCCCAAGTTTATTCATTGGTATTATCCCCCAGTCGACTTTGATACGCGAGTTTTTGGTAATTTTGCTTTTTAATTTTCTCTATTATCGCTATCCTGATTATATAAATAAAGTTCGACGATGGAATGGGACAAACTTTAATGTGGCTCATTTTAATGCACTTAAATTTTGAATTCGGGCAATGAATTTTCACGCCCTGGAGGGAAGATTATTGTGTGAATTTGTGAATGTAAAATATATCTTTACAATACGAGGATGGGTAAGTGAAGGTATTGAAACGATTGTTTTTAGCTTTTGTTTCATACCGCGTATGCTGTTAAGCACAGTTTTCAATAAATTTTTAGTGTGCTCTTTCAACGAACATTTATTTCAAAATGTGAATATTTGTCTCGAAATATCTTACAAATATACTTTATTCAATCTTAACGATGTGGAAAAACTAGAATTAAAACTAAAAGTAAAAAAAAGCAATAACAATTGAAAAGATTCAAGTGGTTTTGGCACTTTAATCGGAACGCAAGGCAATCAACCAACGGGCCAACCTCCTAGGCCGTCTCCTTCGTTGCCTCGGCTTATTGTTATCTGCTTCAATTAAATCGTCTCTCGCGTAACGAAGAACAGAACATCTCGGCGGCAGCAAGTATCGCAGTAAGCGTCGTCGCGCTAATCTCAGGGCTGCGCGAAGACCGCGGGATCAACAAACCGTCACTATTGACAGTTTCGTGGTCCCTGTCGACTGTTGCCTCTGCTCCTTACCATTGCTGCCCAACTGATGGTGTCTGCCGCCGTTGTTGTTGCTGGTGGTCGTCTTGCTCGACGACGACGAGTAGGCATCGATCATCGACTTTCTCGATTGTCATATGCGCAGCGGGTCGTCTTGTGAGCTGGTCGCGTGGCTCGTCTTGCCGGGGGCGTGCCTCGCGGCACAAAAGCTCAGGCTGAAGCAGAGCAGCAGAAGTGCCACCGCCCCGACCAGCAGATAGCCCGACCACGATATCGAGCACCTACCTATAGGAATCGATGGACAAAATATGTTCCAATACGTTATTCAAGGCAGATCAAAAATCGTTAAGCAAAAATCACAGGCAGGCAGTCAGCTACACAATGAAGCAAAAAAGCAGAGGGTGCACATACAGGATAGCTATCGAGAGTGGAGAGCCTCGACTAAAATAATACGTAACGGCAAAATTTTGAAAGGAAGAATAAATTACGTCGCTTTGTATCGAAAGGAAGCTTATCTATTTCTCGAGTCGAGTCTTTTTTCCGTGCGCGCACGCATACACCACACACTGCATGACAAGCGCGACTGAGAGAAATAGCAAGCAAGTTTACAGGGTTTACATCTATATACATGCATGTACAAAAGAACTAGCTGCGGAGAGAGAAAGGGAAAGACCGTGAAAGAAAGCGAAGCAAGAAAAGAAATTTGAAAGGGAAAGAAAGGCTGCGAGCGAACAAGAGGGTGGGTGGAAGAAGGAGTATAGGAAGGAGATGACTGGATCGTTTTTTCCTTTGCGTTTCATCGTTTATCTTCTTACTGGGCTCTACTTTTTGGCTAGCAAGCGCGTACTCCAGCCTGCTCATGTAAACTCGAACTCTGTGTATCTATGTGTACAGCCACGAAAAAGAAACACTGCGTACGGCCATCAAAGGGAGTTATTGAACTCTGAGCGCGGACTATTTTACTCGCCCTTGACGCCCGCACGCGGAGTGACAGTCGCTTAATTCGCACCACGTGTTTATAAACTCCATTTCTCTGCTCGAATAGTTTTTACATTCTGCGGTACTACTAGAGGAAATTTTCACGATCGGATTGATGTAATCCACTACCGAGACCCAGATCAAACCCGAGGAAAATACGCAGGCAGGCGCATAAATTTTCAATACACATCGGATCGCAAAAGGTAAACGATAAAGTTCAGGGAAAAATAGTCAGCACCAGACGTGCTGAGGCAAGTACATTTTTAAATATTCCGACTGAGCTCTGCTGCAGTGCCGTTTTTTCCCTCGCGCAAACGTCATCGTCGTACTATATACTTTACGAGTCCGCTATGGGCAGCTTTACTCGAATAATATAATCTATATTATGCTCTCCAGGTCATCTGCAGCCTCATTTAGTCATCACTCGTTCTTTCTTTTTCTCTCAATGTTTTCTATGGAACGTATACGTTTATATAAAAAAAAGAAGAAAAAGGAGAAGAACGGAAAAACTAAGAAAGTTCAGAGCTGAGGACGTAGAAACAAAATCTTTACGAGCGAGAAGCTAGGGCATTTTGTGTAGAAGCTTTAAATCGTCGACTGCGCGCGCGACGAACGTGATTGTCGTCGTCGTCGTTGAGTCGCGTCGCAAGACTGGAATATTGACCATTTTAGTGGAAGAAGCTTGCAAGAGAGAGAAGCTCTCGGCTATTAAATCTGTCGCTCGAATTCGTGCTAACGTTTTTTCCCCTCCTTTTTTCTTTCTTTTCTTCTGATTCTCTCTCTCTCTCTCTCTCTCTCTCTCTCTCTCTCTCTCTCTCTCTCTTATACATCTCGAAAATGGCTTATTGCATTTTGAACGCATAAAGTGATGTGAAATCCTAAACTACGCGCGAATGCGCCCTCCCTAGCCTCTCAACGCAATGTCAATTTGCGTGTTCGTTCTGGAATTGAAAATTATTAAAAATCTTTTAGTTCGCTCGGGTAACGTATGCGAGCGTGAAGCGAAATACGCCGCACGAAAACTCAAAAGTGTTGTACAATTCGAGGCGCGCTGGATTGCGTGCAGCAGCACACGGGTAAATTGAAAATATAATCGAAGCACATGCCGGCGCTCTCACATACACATATTTGGCGTTATGAGCTTGGCGCGGGCGCGAAAACGTCACCCTGCTGCACAGCACACCGGTCTATTAATAACTCAGTTACCATAGTGTACGCTTCTCCGTGCATGTATATGTAAGCGCGTACACCACCATTATACGCGTCTCGCCAGTAAAATACAAACATCATATTTCAAAGATCGTATACACATTTTCGAATGGGTTGCAGGCGCACGGGTGCAGTCCACGCGCTGCACGCGAGAGCCGAAAATAGTACAGTACAGTCAGTTATATGTTGGGCACCAGTGCGAGGGTGTGTGTATACGTTGCACACGTTTTTGTATGTGTGTGTGTTAGTATACGGTGAGTTGGAAAAGAAGAAAAGGGAATAAGCGAGAGCGAAAAAGCAACATAAAAAAAAAGTCGCATTGGCTCAAAGCCCTCGTGCGTTGGCTTATCGAGTCTCTCGTCGTCGTGCACATTTCACACGTACAGGCTAGCCTCATTTGCTATATGGCAGCTGTACATGAACGCGAGACGAGTATACGTGTGTATTATTTGCACTGTAGTACATGCAGCAGTCATATGCAATATAAGTGATCGGATCGAGCAAAATATCATCAGTGCATAGAATGTACTCACCGAGATTATAGACATTGGCTCCTTTACCGCAGGATTCTCTCACCTCCCGATTGTCCCAGCCAACGGGGTACATCACCAGACCGCCACTTATCATTGTGGCTGCGAACAGACAACGATGTGTACATTAGACACACACACACACATGTATATTAAATATAACATGAAAAAATATTTATGAAGGTAAACTTTTCTTTCAATTTTCATGCCGCAAAAATTTCAGGCAAAGCCTGACAAAAAGGTATAACTTTTTTTTTGAAATTCATCAACCAGGCGACGGTCGGGATGCCAAAACTCGCCGATGAAAAATTATCAATATGTTGCGGCGAAAAATAATATACAACTGCACACTGGTTGTGCTTTTATGTATATGCGTTGCCCAATATTGACGCAGGGCATTAGCGGGCAGTAGCAAATCTAAAAATGTCAACGGCACGCACATCAATTTTGATTCGCCGCAGCGCGGCGGCAGATGCAGCTGGTCGCGAGAAAAAAATCGATTTGCCCGCAGTACCACTCGCGCGACCTATATGTACCAATCTATGTATATAGCCGCGCATTAATCAGTTTTAGCGATCGCCGTTACCTTCGCGTTTATTATTTTTTTTACACTTTTTTCGCCAATATTTATCAAGATGAGAAGCTGAACCAAAAAAATGGACACTTGCAATTGCTTGATAAAAGAAAAGAGTGGAAATGAAACAAACGCACACCTTTTCTTCCGGCAAATAAACGTCACGCCGTTTTCTTTCGTGTGCCACTACCTAAGCGCACAAAAATTTCATTTTCTGTGTATATACGAAAAAAAATAAATAAACAAATAAAAATTCTCAGAGAAATAGCGCAAAAGGAAGGTATGGGGAGACGATTTGCATTCAGTCTCGAGAGTGTCAGCCGCAAAAAAGGGCCATGACGTTTTCAGCTCTCTCCTTCTTTCTCTCGAAGAAAAGTAAACTCGTCGCTCTTGCGCGTGCACTGCGCTATATATATTTTATACAGCCACAGTCGCAACGCAGCAGCCCTGACACTGCTACCGAACTTTTTTAAGAATAAAAACAATATTGTAAGATTGTTTAGGCGTCGGGCACAAAGGTCAAAGAGACAGAGAGACGCACGGCGAGGGTGAGGAGGGTGGCAAACAAGAGAGAAAAAGAGAGAGAGAGAGAGAGAGACAGGCAGAGAGAATAAAAAAGAATAAAAACGGAAAGTCCAGAGTCGCTGCTGCTCTCGCGAGCGAGCTAGAGAGAAAAGAATGCGAGTGGTTGAAATGTCTGAACAAAACACGGAAAGCTTAGACTATATACATAAAAAAGACGGAGTAGTGAGCTTCGCATCTTACGATCGAATTTGTGCTTCTCCGAGCTTCTGAGTGCGAAGGCTTTTCCTCTCTCTCCCTCTCGCCCTCTCTTTTCCTCCGGCTTGTATATATATACATGTATATATAGTAAAACCATTTGGTAGCTCGAGGTTGCTACTACACTGCAGTCGAATGAACTCTGAATTTTTTCTTCCTTTCCCGTATATCGCTTCTTTCTCTTGTTGTGCCTGGCGCATATATTCTTTTCTTGCACGCAAAGCTCCCCCCATACCTCCATCTCTTGCTCTGTAATCTGTCGTTGCATGTCTTTGAAAGACCTCCGTATATATACCATACATACATTCGCGAGTGCGTAACAATTCGAACGTATACATGCTTTTCTTTTTCTTTTTGCATTCACAAAAGCAGCTGAAATTTTTTCACTCGGAAAGAGGAAATACGTTGCTTTTATACATATGTATAGGTTTTATATTGTATGTGCTTACCGGCCAGTAATTGAAGACTGCCTAGAATCTTGGTGTGCTTCGGCCGTTTCAGCGTGTGCGGCAGAAACGACGAGGCGGCTGCCAGAAGTGTCAGCGCCCCGATCATGGCGACTGCAAGCCCGAGGCAGATAGTTAACGTGCTGGCTTGCCACCATGGACTTGGTATATCCCAAAAACTGGAACAAACAAATGAAGCGTGCGATCGATCATGAGGTAAAAATTTAGTTGGTCTAATAAATTTTTTATGTTAAAAATTGTTTGAAATTTAAGGTATTTTTAAATTAGATTTAAATGTATTGAACTTCAATAAATTCCCATAAATAAAAATTAAATTAGCTTACAGTGAAAATCAATACATTGGACACGAGTCTAAACTTTTTCCAACATACCTGATTAAATTATTGAAATGTTTTAAAATACATTATCATAGATTGGTTTATTTTTGATGATGTTTCTGTTAAAATTATGTTACAATTATTGATAATTAAATTTTAAATCACTAGAAAATTATATTGTAATTTTTGTAACCAGTTTAGACTAGTTTCCAACCACCTCGAATACGATAATAACATTTTAAGCCGCTAGGCGTCGAGTACATTTATCTGTAAACGTGCAAGTGGCAAAGTCAAAATAATTATATAAGTCAAAGCACAGGTTTGTTGTCCAGTGTTTGTAAATTTCATCGAAGTTTATTTTCATCTCATTTAAAGTATTATCAAATTACCTTTCCCAATTTTTCTTATGATCGAGTGGAATAATATTTTTTTAATCTAAGGTTGTCGAGAAATCAAATAACGTAGAGTCAAAACTTTTACATTATTTTATTAAGTTCGTCTATTTATTAATGAAAGTAAACTCTACTTCTTTATAGTAATTTTCATGTAATTTTTTTCAAAAGTACATCGTTGTTGGAATCGACGAAAAATAAGTTAATAAAATATGGGAAAATCGCAGTGTGATATTATTTAAAATTTAGCCTATTTAGGCATGGTATATCGGTATTGGATAGATGGATTATTCAAACTTAGAAATCCGCTCGAAATACCTCGATTAATCCAACTATTTTTGCTCTACCGATTCTATTTAGCGAGTATACGTAACATATAGCAGCCACGGCTTGGGAAGTATCCCAAAAGACAACAATTTCACTGCAACATCAACAATACATTGGCAGCGGCAGTAACGGCGGCAATCGAAATACGCTTGCGTCTCATCGAATGGCAAAAGCTATAAGTAACGGCGATTAATGTCCACGCCCCGCTCTCTCTTTCTCTCTCTTTTACTGCTGGCCGTGCGCTTCTGTTCCCGCACAAAAAACGAAAAAAAAAGAAACGGATGAGCGAACGAATGAACGAACGAAAAAAAAAATTCCTCTCTCTGACTCGGAAAAAAGAGGCCTGTGTAGCGAGCTAGTCGGACCCCCGTGGCCGTTGTTATTCGCAGTGCATTCTCGTATTTTCAGTCGTGTCATTGCAAGCGCGTGCCCACCACCTCCAGCACGTGTATGTGTATCTGCGCAATGCTACAAGTTCACGTATTTTCCATGCCTCTCACTCGTGCTCCATTTTTTTTTTTTTTTTTTTTAGCATACAGTCNTTTTTTTTTTTTTTTTTTTGAAGCATACAGTCACACACAGACGAGCTTAGCATGCTCGAGCTTGTGTAGCAGTAGCAACGCTTGTCCGCGCCTGTATAACAAGTCGAGCCGCAGTATAGCGAGCGCGTGGGGCTACGAAAAAGGAGTAAATTTTGCAACATGCAGTACACCTAACTATAATTGACGCGTTGGATTTCAAAAAGTAAATGCGCGGTTCGCACGCGCGCCTGACTAACCCGTGTATACACACGTGAAAATAATTTTTTCAAGCTTTTTTTTGGCGCACACGCAAGCTCACGAGACAAAAAAAGAGAACGTGGAAATTTTGACTCACTATATACGTGCGCGTGCGTGGGAAAATTATCATCTCTCGCGCCCGCGCACATGCATAACATACACGTGTATAACAATAGTAAAAAGCGTAAAAAAGCGTATACGCAGTGCAACGTGTACATGTACTGCACGCGTTGCTGCTGCTGCTTCCTGTTCGCGTCCATTAAGGTTGTGTGCATCGCCCGAGATTGGATTACGTGATCTGATTAAATGCCCTGTTCGAGTTTTCTGCAAGAGTAGCTTGATTTTCGTGAAACTTGCGTTTCTTTTCCTCGTTCTTGCGTTTTTTTTTGTTACTTCCTTCGTTTTCTTTTTACGCCTTTTTTCTCGTCCGATTTCTTGCAGCAGCAGCAGCTCGTATTCTTAGAGCTTCAGTAGCTTCTTAATCTCGTAAACATCGAACGAGCTAATTGCAAACAGTCAACCGGATACTTCCCTTTTCGAACTTTATATACACTGTTTTAATGCAGTTTACTAAAAAAGATAACTCGAATTCTTTCTTGGCTACGTAATTTCAAGTGAAAGTAATCAATCGAATTGCATATGCGTATAATAAATAATTTTAATGCATCAGTTATAACATTTATTTAATCTATCTTGGTCCTTCATTTTCACTTACTAATATCTTAAGCTTATTAGTCGTGTAAAGTAAGACCGAGCTACATACTCGTTCTACCCACGCACTCATACGCACTAACTTCCAAGCTCATGCACGTTACAGCACACGTATTTAATACGCGAGTGAGCTAAAGGTTTAATTCGATTTCTGTCCGTAATATCGTTTCACCCGCGCGTGCACTACTTCCAGAAATAATATTAATGCCCTAGCCTGGCTGCGCAGGCAAAGGAGAATCGTCCGCGCGCATATATACATAAGATGGAACGAATTCCGAATTGCTATACATATACTCGAGGATTTCTCGTGCGTTTTGCAGTTGAACTTTTCCAGAAGACTTTCACCCGAGGGAGGGGGTTAGCCGGCAGCGTGCAGCTGGCCTTATTAAAAGCGACATTACCAGTGCAGCAGATCGTCTGCTCGCGAAAATTTTCATCGTTGAATTGCCCTTGCGTATATATAGAAAAGTATATATAGATAGAGGTATAAGTACACATAGAGCGGCAGCGGCGGCCAGGCTCCCTTTTTCGCGCTACGATTGCCCAGAAAAGAAAGCCAAGTGCAGAAAACTTTCATAATGGATATCTCGTTCTCTCTATCTATATCCCTGCAGCGCAGCGGCAGCGGCCAAAGCAATGGCAGCTGCCCTCGAGTGAAAGGACTATGATGATGCAGTTCGAGCTCATTACGCGAGGTGAAGCTTGCGCGCACAAGATGATATTCCCTTACTAACACACGCTGACGAACACACACACACACACACACACACACACACACACAAACATGATACGTATGAACTCAATAAGTTGCACACATGCCCACGCAAGCAAAGCCCTAGTTTTACAGCTTTACAATTGACCGACAGCTGGCAACTTATATGTATACGTAATACCACAAGGGAAATTGTTAGCCGTAGGGCCTGCGCACAGCTACAGATTAAAATTTTCATTTTTAATAGCCGCAGAACGTGAGCTCACTGCCAGTGCCCCACGTCCAACAGCCTCCTCGCTCAGAGTTCGGTAAATAGATCAAACTATAACTCGCGTATAACCGTGAGCGCGTTGCCAAGCCGATACTAGACCAGCGCATCAGTACGCTGCAGAGAGTGTGCGCGCCACGTTAAATTAAATTGGACGGCAAGTGCGCGCGCGCGTATACGATTCAAAAGAGGAGCTGCTGATGTCGCCATTGCAAGTGTGCAGTGCGCGAGCTTTATTATCCTCGAGCTTCGATTTGCATCTTGCAAGCTCATTAAACACGACGTTACAATTTCTAAAGCGACAATTCAATTTGTTAACACGAGTCGCGCATTAACGTTACTCGTAATGGCGTTTGTTGATTTGTCAATTCTTTCGTGAACCCGATATGTCGACGAACGTAATTATTAGAGGGATTTATATCGACTGTCGACTTATATACTCGTACGCTCGTTTGGTTCGATATAATGGAAAAAAAAGGAAGCTGAAGTGCGCGTACACCACCACCACCATACATGCGCACGAGGGTCTCTCTATATTAAAAAACAATGTCGAGCTTTATTCGAGCCGAACTAAAGCTCGTTTGACGAGCGGACCGATAGAAAAATATCCGTTTCCGTCAAAAGAGTAACTATCGCATGCATATATCGTCGTGTATACGCGGACAAACCAAATCTGCTAATAAATCCCATTTAAAGAGACCATTATGTTTTATTTTGTTCCCAAGCATGCGCGCGCGGGCCCTGCACCCGGTACGCGTAGATTTATCTGTACCGTGCTGCTCGTCTCCCTCTCTCTCTCTCTCTCTTTCTGTGTGTACGTATATGTATCGTGCACTCGCGAATTCACCTCGTTTTTCTCGCTTGCCGCTGCAGCTACCCACCCCCTCGCGCCGAGCAACGAGCCAGTAAAGAGCAATTCGTTGGGTTATCTTTAGGTCATGGGATTTCGAAAGAGAGTGAAAGAGCGGCTGGCTATATTCATTTGTCAAGCGAGTCGAGTCTATCAGGAACATCGATTTCAACGCGGCGCTGCGTTGCTCTGGTGGCATTGTATACGTCGAGCTGCAGGCGAGCAACGACGGAATATAAAAGCCACCTGACTAAAGACTCGGGATCGGAAATCAACGATTTCTGACGAAAATACGATGCCGATTGCTATACGCATGATATATTGTGTGCACCACAGCACAGTTTCTATTCCGTACTTTTGTAAAGTGAGTTTCTCGTCGACATGGAAATAAACCGCAACAAACGTTGATGCTCGATCGAATTTAATAATTGAAAGCATCAAAGAAGACAATTAGATCGACTTAATGGAAAAACAGCTGAAAAATTTCGCTACTTTGAATAAGTAAGTGAATGGTGCGCTCTCGCAATAATTCGAGAATAAAAAAAGTACAAAAAGTTCGCGAGGAAAGAAAGAATTCCGAGCTTCGCGTTGCAGTCACGTTATGTATAATACACACACACACACACACACATATACCAGCGCTTCTTTCACGGTGCGGGGGCGCTGCACCGCGTGACGCACCAACGGCAACGCTAAACGATTTATTGATGCGGTAAGAATCTGGCACGGAATGCGCTCGCGCACACATGCATACAACGCACGCGACGAGGAGGACGTCGCACACAACGACAGAAAAATGAGCTTAGACGATTTATTCTATGCGAGTAAAATTTTTCGATCGAATTTGAAGAGAGAGCAGTAGTAGTCAGCCCATATGCATCTTGCGTGCATTGCACTGCGCGCGAGCAGCATCGAGGGAGAGTTTCATCTTTTTTATTTGACGACCTATTATGCGCTTGCAGAGGATCGTAAATTATTATACCATGCCGTAGTACTTTGATGCTACCGCGCGCGAGACCATAGATAACGTGTACCGTGATGAAAGTTTTTTTTACTACTTTGCGCGTATAGATATATGATGCTATTTTGCAAAGTATATATAACTAGTTTTTCATCAACGATTCGGCAAAATTAATTACCGATATATCGGTGCGCGCGGGGTGCTGGGGGGATGCGAAAGTGGATTTTCTTGTGAAAGCTCTCTGTAGCGTGATCACACACAGAGATTGGAAAAGTCTGTACGTCAAAGAAAACAATTTAATTACCTGGAATATCTGGCGCACTCGTAGACAATTTCGGGCGTGCTCGTGGGCGTTCGGATCCTTGGATAATTACATCGTCGAAAGGAATTGAAGTAAGCGTCAGCTTTACCCAGAAGCTTTCCCTGCAACAAACAAAAAACAACATAAAAATTTACACTTCTCTTTCGTGACTGAAAATTTATATAATGTACGTGTGTGCGTGTGCAGTATGAAAATGAGAGGAGCAGCAGCGGCAGCAGCAACAATAACAGCAACAGCAGCAGCGAAAGAGAGCGGGTTTGGCCTGGTGCAAATTATAATGCGATTCTCTCGGTTGCCGTACGCCTCGTTCAAGCACCCGCGATTTGAACTTTGTACCGCATGGCAAAACATGCACACACTCGCACGCTGAGGAGGGGGTGGCGGCGGTGTGCCGTACGTGCGAGTTTGCAGCGATTTAATTTACAAACCTTACGCGCGGCGCAAGCGTATATATAATTATTATGTTTTTTGTCTTAACCTGTAGATATATATTTATATAGAAATTAGTTTAGACTTTGAGACTGATTCATCCAGTCTCTAGCATTTAATTTCGTGTGACTTCTTTAATCGATCTCCCTTGAATGTGTCTTTGATATAATTTGTAGCAATTGTAAAATGAAACAATGGTTCGATTTTTTGATAACAAATTTACTCTTTCGTAATATACGCCATTATATAACCAAAAAATACGCTTTCGACTGATTTTCCGCACAAGTAAGCTTAAATTAACTATTCTCTTTGAAAAATTAACTAGCTTTATTCATTCTAACTGAAACTATTTCAAGTGGGTAGAATATGTAAAATAAAATTGTGAAAAAACAGCGTACCCCAGTGGTAATCGTAGCTGATACTTTTATGAGCTGCTACATTGTTTAACCATAATTGCGAGTGGAAAAATTATATTGTATAGAAAGTTATGAAAAATTTCATCAGCTCGTATTGTTTGAAAACCTGAAATTTAATGCACGTTTAATTTAATGTAAAATCAAACATTAAAATTAAAGATACAAAATTTCATTTATGGTACTTATAAATGAAATCTTCGTTGAAAATTAATGTACCAGTATTGATTCATTATTTGCGGGAAGGAAAATTAAAATTTAATGATGGTATTAGCCTCTTCCACTAGATGGCGAGTATCACTGCACGAGAATCCGCAAGTGGCAAAGTAAAAGTAATCGTATATTGAATAAATTATGATATTGTCATAGCACAACAGAATGATTGTGTTTCAATTTTAATCAGAAATAATATACGTTGAAGTTTGAACCTATTGGCACTTACAATTTTTAATATAAACATTTCAATTTATTAAAATTTTATTGAAATAGTATTTTTACTTTGCAGATTATTCTTAGGATTGCAGTTAATTTGTTTAAAATAACAGCCATTTCAAGTTATTTACAGAATTTATTGAAAAGTCAAATTTTCTCTCTCTCTCTCTCTCTCTCTCTCTCTCTCTCTCTTTCTCTTTTACTCCTTCTACTTGAGAAGAGCCTGCAGGGGGCTAGAGCCCGTGCGCAGGAAGATATTACTACTATAACCCCCCTCCCCACTGTCTCGCATTTGTCCAGACCCGAGGACCTGCGGGGCATTACTGTACAATTTTCAACGCACTGTTTTGATTTTACCCAAATTGAGTTGAATTTCAAAGAAACCAGTTAATGGTATTGAAAATGAATTAAAAAGTACTGGATTATTAAGAATCTAACACGGATATTGTAAACTTTGAAAATCAAGCGAGAATGATCCTTGCGCTCATTATCGCAAAAAATTTCGCAGAAAATTCGATTTATGCAACTATCACAGGCAATTAGCAATAACTCTATGAAGGTAAGAGAAGCAAATTAAGCGATATAATATTTGAATTTCTATCTCGTGCCGCTGCTGTATGCTCGGGTTTACAAGCGAGATTTGCTTTTGAGTCGTGAGAATGACTTTTCGCGCACACTGTACGAGCGACGAGCAGCAGCATCGCACAGAGACATTTAACAGCGATAGTAAAAGGGATAGGGGCGTATAATTGCGACGTTTATACGCATATATACGTATAGATTATCACTTATTATCAACGGCCCGAGAGACGAGAAAATTTTGCAATGAAAACTCTATAACTGGAAATTTGCGAGGATGATAATGTATTCAAGTTTCGAATTTCGTACAGACCACACGGGCCTATGACTGCCAACGAAGCTCTGTGTGTCCTTACAATGATACAGTCAAATTCATCATCATCCACTTTAATTATCATAACTTTATGGTTAATAGTTAATGCAAAATATTATCATGTGTGTTTGTGTTGAGCGAGCAGCCAAGGGCATAATTACGTGTCAATTTATTTCTCTCGAAGAAGCGGCGCCGTGGCCCAGCCAAAATTGCGACGACAACCGGCTCGAAATATGGCAATGTGAGTTAATGAAACAATAATTAAAGAAAATGGACGAGCTTGGCGGAATAATAAAACTCGAATATAAATTCCTTTTATATACACAGTTAGCTGCTGCCTCTACTGTCGTAAACAGGGAGAAAATCTGGTGGGATATGCGAGCGTCAGAAGTTGAGCTTGTGTAACGAGGGAGATATCGCGAGCTGTAATGAGAAATGAAGCCAAATCTCTGTATCACGAGAGCTGTGGGATCGGGTACGATCGTCGTGCCCGCTCGATAAAGGAAAATTCATCGTATTTACAGCTAATTGCTAAAGTCGCTTGGAAGAAGCTCTGACTACGCCGGGCTATTGTGCGATATCTCATTCGCGTGCATTTTGCAAATCCTGTAAAGCAGCAGGAGCAGCAAGCACTGCATCCAAGTGCGCGCGGGTGTGCGATCAAGTCCTAATGGAACCATTCCCAAAAGACGCTCTCCTCCTCCCTTACCCCCTACACCTTCTGTACACGCTTGCCAGTTTCGAACTCGTCCCTCTAGCTATACAGCATGTGCATTACTTACAAGCTCGAGCTTGCGAATACATATATATCTTTCGAAAGCTGTACGAGAATTTCGATGAGCGCATTTAGCTCTCTTGGAGTAAACTTTTTTTTGCGAATCCCATCCTTTCTTAGGCGAAGCGGAAAAATTGCTCAGCAAACTCTCCGGGCCGCTTAATTGTAATTAATGTTAAGCAGCTGAATTGTATTATAAATACGAGAGCTCGCACGCGTAGTATAGGCGACTAGTTGTACTAATGGTCGAAACTTGCTTGGCACAAGCCTCATCAGTGCCGCTGCTGTTGCTGCTGCTGCTACTACTACTGTTGGTACTGTGTGTACTATACACAAGCTTTCCCTAACGACGACTAATTCAGTCGACCGAGAACAGCAGCAGCGGCAGGAGCAGCACTTGAGCTTGCGGCCCATGCCCCTAGCCCCTAACCCACGATCGTTGTCGGGGCAAAAGAAAAACGCACACAAAACTTCTCAGCATAGTTCTCGGCATAGTTGTTGCGTGTATATCCGTGCGCAAACTATATATAACGGGGTGCGTTAATTAAATCTTCCGATTTCGAGCACTTTTCATTTTCATCAGTTCGGCAGCTCGTGTATTATTATTATAATCCGGTTTATACGAATGCTAGTGCTTGCTCGTTTAAATCTAATCAAGTATGTATGAACCGTGCATTAATTTCCGTGCGCGGTGTATGTACGCTTCGACGCGCTTCAACTGCTACGGAGAGAGAGAGAGAGAGAGAGCTGGTCAGCCGAGCTGCTTATCTATCCGATGGGCCATCGAGCACCATTGGAGTTAGTGTTTCCGCCTTTTTTTCCTCGCCTGAAATATGGAGTTGTTACTTTTATTTTCACCTTTTCTGATTCGTGGAAAAGATTGTACAGTTACTTCACTTAAGATTTCAGATCAGATAGAGGAGCAGGTATAACGCAAAGTAGACGTAAAACTTTTCTTATCGTTTTGTGGCAAATTAACACTCGAGGCACGCGGCGGCGGCACGTCGTTATATGGCAGGCGCGCAAATACGACGCCAGCAGGAAAGGGCGCGCTATATATTATATTAGCTCCTAATTCGTCACCGAGGTAGGCCGCAAATTTAGGCTTGAAGATCGTCGTATTAATTAAAGCGCCCCCGACTCGACAGGCTCCACTCGAGCTTTGCACGCGATGACGCGCAGCTTCGTCCGTGCATGCAGCACACACGTGTGCATGTATATCCATTCCCTTATACGTGGATAGGTATGTGCTAAAAGCACACACATGCACGCATACTCTCGCATATACATACGAACGCTCGCGAGCGAGGAACGAGGAGCTTCGGAACATTTGCATAGTGTCGAAAGGTTTGCCGCGCGGCGGCGAGGCTGTGCAGCAGCAGCAGCAGCACTACGCTGCTCTGCAGGAGGTAGTACGTACATACATGCATATATGCTACGTTTTGTTGGTTTATGGAGAGTGAATAATCGCTCGGTGCGCCGGCGTGAACGCCAGTACTTCATGAGTGTCTGTGCGTGTGTATGTGTGTGTTGCGTGTACGTGTGTGCAAGCTCGCACCCGCTTGTGTGGCCAGGGGTTGAAAGATTAATAGAACGAATTTGATTGCTAAGAAATGAGAGCTGGAATTAATAAATTTTCAACACCCACCACCACAGAGGTAGCTCTACTTGCTTGAATATTGTTTTCGGCGCATGCATCGCAAAACAAATGCGCGTATTATGCTCGCTCGATTTTATATAATATGCACGCGGAAAGTAGGTCAAAAGCCTGGCCAAGGTTTTGAATTCGTGCGCGAAAAAATCGGAACAACTGCAATCACCGACGATGCAGTGAATTTCGTTTTAATTTTATTTACAAATAAATGTTTTTTCTCAAATTGAATGAGCCTCTAGTTATGAAAAGTTCAGTTATACTAGGTGTGCGATGAAGGCGAGAGCGAGAGTAAAAAAGTTAATTTCAACTATTATATTCTACTCAATGGAGAGCGAAAATTTAGTTATTCAACGGCGTTTATATCAGGAAATAATTAGAGGTGTTTTTTCTGCGGCTCGCCCACAATGACTTTCTCTTTCTCTCGCGCGCCAACTCCCTAGCCTAGGCTCATTAGATAATTATACTGCACAGAAGGAAAACTTCTGTGTGGGGGGAACCAAGGGAGAGAGAGAGAGGAAAATCCTTGTCCACGCACCACTAGCGCTGGAGCAGCGTCTCTGTTGCATTTTTCAACCCGGAACACGGACCGTTTTTTATTTTTTACCGCCGCCACACGTACACGTTATTATAAAAATACTCCTGATCCCTGGGGTACGCTGGTGTATATATACGCGCAAAAGAACAAGAGCTTTTCTATATTATTATGGCAACAGACTTTTTCGCCCCTGATGTTCTCGCTTTCATCCGTTTTTTTCTCTCTCTATCTCTCCCTCGCATGCATGGCTGCGTGTATAATACAAACTCATTTCCTCGGTGACATCTCTTTAGACCCAGTTGAATTAGCCGCCTGTCCGCAAGGTACGCTTAACTTCTTATCCCCAGAACACACGTCGTCGTCCCTTTCGTGGTGCTTTTTTCCTCCCGATTAATTAATGGACACGCGATTACAATTGAATGACAAATCTCGTAGGCAAAATTACAATTCGAGCAGTTGAATTTGTGCTAGGGCGCGCTGTAACTCGCGCGCGCTTGAGTTAACTTTGACATTATAAATCATTGAACGTTGGGGCTAATTTGAGGCTACAAATCCAGTTGAGCTTTGCTACTACTGCTGCTACTGCTGTTAAATAGATAGTGTTCAGGCGCGGGGACCGAGGCAATTTTCTGGAAACTGAATGATTAAGACTACCAATAATTCGCTGTGAATTTCGAGTTGGCTAATTCTGTAGCCAGCGTGCAATGTAACGGCTCCACGAGCGCTTCTATCGATAATTTATGGACCGTGCGAAGCCTGTACTAAAAAGTTATTTTCATTCGGTTATTTTTCGTTCCTTTTTTTTCACTATAACTTAGCAGCTGTGTATGAGAAGCTCTCGGAATTGCGCTACATGGAAATTATCCAAGTTTTCTTTAGCATATAAAGCGATGAAAATGTTGAATCACTCATGTTTTCTTTTAATATTCATACAAACTTTTATACATGTGAGACTACACATATACTAAATCTCTGCGAATGGTTTTTTTAAAACATTTCGTTCAAATTGTCAAGTTCTATTTACTTTCATCTTGTAAAAACTGCAAAACAAATAGAATCATTAAAGAGCTTGACATTAAATTTAGCGACAGATGTATAAATTCATTTGCCGTGCCATTAACTGCAAAATCTAACGCTCGAGAGCGCGCGAACGTGCATTAATTTTAGCAAAAATAGCGATCGCCACGCGGCGCATCCAAAACTCGTGACAGCCGCGCTCTCCGCTGTGCTGTGCCGTGTTGCTGCTGGCTCGAGTGCTGTGAAATAGCAGTGCCGCCTACGCTTCATAATTAAGAGGGGGTGAGTGGGGGGGATTAAATTATGAATAATCAAAAGTCAATTACCTGAATCCAATAAGGCAGATAAAAACCGGTGCAGGCGAGTATCGATGCCAGTATCGACAGTACGACCCAGCAAACACAAAGACCCGTCATCGCGCACGCTATTACACTCACTCATGCACGTGTGTGTGTGGCTATGTGTCTGCCCTTATAGACTCTGTTTCTCGTTTTTCTTCACTCTTGCTCTGTTCGTATTCGTCGCTTCGCTTTTTTTTCTCCTCTCTCTCTCTCTCTCTCACTCCCTAGCGATGAGACACTTGTTATCGTCGCTCCATTGGCGACGACGAGTTCGCGAAGCCGGACGTCGTAGTAGTCCTCCTCCTCGTCGTCTCTTTTTTCATCGTGCGACGAAGACAGCGGGAGTAGAATCCACGTCGTCGTTGTCCCATTTTATCCTCCGTTTTTCTGGTATTATTTTTTTTCACTTTTTTCTTTGTGCGAATCTATATATCTCTTTCTCTCACGGCTGCAAGCTCGATTGGTTTCGAGACCTACATACATAACATTATGTGAACAAAAAAAAATAAAGGAGCACACGTTAATGATCTCGAATGGACTCGATGCGTCAAAGCTATCAATAACAGAGAGGCTTCTATGTACCTTTATATACACGTAAACTCTGCTCACTGAATTGGCTATTTTCCCCTACAAAACGGTACGCGCGCTTGTATGACATTTAACAAGCTGAATTTTGCATTTAATTTTGCGCGGTGCGTTACAGCTCGAGCTGCGACGCGTCATGAATTTCGCGCGCTCGGCGATCTGCACGCACTACTCGCAATCTAACTTTATATTTACAGGGCGTGCTCGTGTGCGTAAAGTATATTTCTTGATACAAAAGTTGGCGTGATTTGAGACCATGGATGCGCGCGGGTGCGAGCGGCCAAACGCCGCGTCTATATATGCACAGAGGCTTTTCTCCAAAGTACTTATTCTGTTTTCTCAGAAGAAAACTTGTCTCGGAAGAAAGGAAGAAAGGAAGAGAGAAAACTTTGGCGAACAACGCGAGAAGCTCATTCTTCGTGCAGTAGTATAGTAGCAGCGCAGCAGCGGTATCCACTTCTCAAGTGGCAAGTTTGTCTAAATAAACGAGTAAAAAAATGCCCGTACACTCGCGCGCGCGACTGACTTACGCGTCGTTATTTCGCCTAGTTGTTGTTGAGTCTAGTCTCTCCCTGCACTACACACCCGGCCAGATGATATTAGCACGCGTTTCGCACCTGGATGCGTCCACGAGCTACGACAATGAAATTTTCTCTCCCTCTTTTTCTCTCTCGCTCACTAGCATAGCTAGCTAACGCAGCTCAAACGTAATTGCTTTACACGGCATAAAATTTGCTTTTGCCAGCAGCAAGATTTCGCGAAAAAGAGCGAGAGAGAAAGAGAGCGAGCTCGCGAAAGTGCTCAATCCAACCACTGCTGCTGCAGCTGCGTACGCAAAAAAGCTGCCACGGCTGTGCTACACACAGAAGCTTTTATCGCGTCAACGGTCCGCGTGCCGCTGCCACTGCTTTTGAGGAGAGTCGAGCTTTCGAAATAATGAAAAATGAAAAAAATGCCGAAATAACAAGAAATAACCAATTCAGCGAGTAGAGTGTACAGCTATATAGGTTGACTCCAGCTTACACTGCATACGTACTTTTGTAAAAATATATATAATGCAACACTGCTCCGCAGGCGGCGACGACGACGACCACGACAGAGATGGCAAAAAACAGCTCTACGGCTACCACATGACACACTCTTTATTATATATATTCTTCTCTCTCTCTCTCTCTCTCTCTCTCTCTCTCTGGTTGCAACAGCAACAGCGACACTGTATGATATTATAAACTTCACTGCGCGCGCGGGCAACGCGTATAAGACACGAGGAGGAGCCGCAGCTTTGGACGGTACTACGCTGCTCTCCGCTCTTTTCTTCTTCCTTTTCTTCTTCGTCGCGGTCGTTCTTGTCGTCGTTTACTTCTTCTGCCAAAGAATAAAGTTTCAGTAGTCGTAAGAGCAGCGGCGGTGGTATAAGCAGCGTCTCGCGCACACATCCGCAACCAAAAATAAATACATCTGGAGTGGTACGGCTGCCGCTACTGCTGACTCGCCGCTATATGTGTGTGCGTATGTGTCCGTATATGATACGAAAATAAATCGCAAACGTGCACGGCGGCGATCTGCGGCGTATTCTTGTTACACGCACAGCTCGCTTACCGCAAAACGCTATTGCGCAGCTACACAGTCTTTGTTGTGTGTTGACGCTTTAAAAGCACGTGACTACTAAACGTCAGGGTCGTTGCACTTTGCTGAAAAGTCATTTTCTATTTGCCGATAGCTGCGTGTATACGTCAATCGTGAGCCAAGATTTCATGAAAAATCAAGGAAAATTGGGTAGTATCGTGGGTACGTATCGACGCACGAAGAAGCAAACTTTTGTCGACATATTTCGGTCGCGAGCGCGCCTGGGAATGCAAAAAAAGTCTGCGCGTACAAGAGGCTTCGCGCGAATAGTTTTATATCTCCCCGAGGCTCTCTCTGCGAGCGAATCGGGAGAGCGACTGACTGGCTGGCTCCGCGAAAACCATCCACGAGCCAAACACCGAGAGAGAGAGAAAGAGAGATGTAGATATACGGGGGCTGCTGCGACACATCTGGCCAGCAGTGGCAGCAACAGCAGTAGAAGCAGCGCGCATGCTTACACTTTGCGCTCTCGCTCGCTCTCTCTCTCTCTCTCTCTCTCTCGCAGTGTATACATATAGATCTCTGCTGGCTGCGAGCTGCACTCTCGCTTATGCTGCTGCTGCGCCGCAGACCCCCGTTCTCAACCCAAGCGATAGAATCTCCAGAATATTATTTCTCTTGCGTAAATTGAGACTTTTGTTTTTTGCTGCTTTATTAAAAAAAACAAACAAACAGAAAGAGTACGAATGAATTTGGTTGAAATTTAAAGTATGTTTTTTCTTTTAGGAAAGAACGCTCGGCTGAAAAAAAAAACAAAGTCAACGTAAGGAGCAGCGACAGCGTATGGACTTTGTAATATATTTATTTTCGAGAACGAGATGTTACTAATTGTCCGATAAATAATTCGAATAATTAGATCAGGCATTTGAGTGAATGGGTGGCAGATAACGAAGTTAAGACTTTGACTAAGTCTGGCTGGAAAATTTGAGCGTTGCATTTTCAATGACAGCTTGACAACTTGGCTGCTCTAATCCATTCATACTTCCTGCTGCTCTTGGCTCTATAAACGTATGGCGGCGCGGCAGTTAGTTATGCCTGTAATAGTGCGCGATGGTAAATATACATATATATGTGAACCGATCCACGTTGAAGCTGGACGACAAATATGCTAGATCGGTAGGCGCCACATACACTTGCAACGACGGAGTATAAGCATACTTTTAGCTACCCGAAGATCACGTTCTGCCGTGTTTGCGGTCGATTTGCCCCTCACATGCTTTCTCTCTCTCTTTTTCGTTCTCTCTCGATGTATGTATACGCTTTTGTGTGACTATATATTGAATATACAGTCGTGTACACAAGTCCGAAAGCTCTCGAGGTTACTGGATAACTTTATTCGTTCTTCTCTCTCTCTCTCTCTCTCTCTCTCTCTCTCTCTCTCTCTCTCTCTTTCTCTCTTACTGTATCGCCCAGCACGACGACCCCGAAATCGTCTCTTTGCGTGCATTCTCTCGAGGATCGTTGCTCTTCGAGTGTACACACATACACACATATAAATTGGCTTTCTCGAACTGTGCACATCTACACACGCAAAAGCAGTCGAGCTACTATATACGTGCCTGGGTAATTACTTATCGAAGATTTCCGTTCGAAATATTAATAATATAATACGCTTTTTGGCCCTGGCGCTCCGTGAAAGTGACCCTCCGGCAGCCTCGAGTTGATTACGAATTCCCTCGAGCGTTGTCACCGTACACGATCGGATGATTCGGAAATTAAATCGAAGAAAATGAACAATCTGTACAAGCGGGTAATTACGTGTTGTACGTATATATTATATGGTTTGGGCATGAGCTTCGATTTGACTTTTGAAATTCCTCGAGGAATTCGAGAACACGGCTCTAAATAACTGGCTGGCGGTTGCTGCGCATTATTACCCAACATAAACCTCGACAAAATTATCAAAGCTCGCCCCCGTACGTACTTGGTGCGCGCGTCAGAATTTAACGACATTTCGCACAGCTGGTAGCTAGAAAATTGGGGGGAAGGGTGGAGGATCGATGGAAAAAAGGCAATAACGTCAAGTAGTAGTATCGATAGTTTAGGTAGCTGTATAAAGGCATATCAGCCACATTATTGTGGTGATGGCGGTGATGATGCGGCTTCGTAATTCAGTATAAAGCAGTAGCTTTGGCCGTGGCAGCATCAACGATACTATACATTATGAGGAGAAGGGTGTATATAGCGCGTGCGCTTGCCTCGCAAGCACGAAAACGAAATTCGAAGCTGCTGCTGCTCGGGTCGGACCGGTGCGCGCGACGCGATCGCATTAACGAGGCTATTCGACGCGCGCTACCGAACCTCGTAGCCCCCCGCCCCCTCTCCTCTTTCCTCACCCGTGTATATATACGTGTACGTAGCCACCCCCAAAGTATCTCGCCGCTGCTGAACGCGCTTATTATATGCAAGCGACTAAAGGCTCCTCTACGTACGTTTAACTCGCCGGCGATAACGATGGAGGTAGTAGTCGACGTACGTATTATATGCAGCGACATAAACTCGAGCAAAATCCTCGACGTTCAACGGGGCAAGAAAATATCGAGAAGCAAATGTCCGGAACGAGAGGATTGTCCGCGAGAATTTGTGATATTCGTGTACAAAGTACCTCGTCGCATTACATGCACGCGCGTCGAGCATTACTATGCACGGATCAGCTCTCCCTCTCGAGGAAAAGGAGTAACAGGAGAAGGAGAACAGTTGAACTGCAGCTATCGTTGACTCGAGCTTGCAAGCTCAACGATGCGGCGCACGACGTGTACGCATGTAAGTGAGTGCACGATTATGCGTCAAGGACTATGTGTTGTGCGAGACAATTGTAGTCCTTTTTTTAGCTGTTCATAGATATGTACGTCCCTGTTTACAGCCATTTATATAAGTTCACTTTTATCTGTGATACAATACATACATGCAAAATTATCGAGACTTGAAGAGGTTGCCTAAAGAAGCGAAATGTTGATTAATTTTTATAATAAAGTTCGATCATCTATGGTTAATAGCAATTTTTTATTTCAATATTAACCACATTTTAAATGACCTGAAAATGACAATTTGTTTTAAAAGATGTAGACTAGTTTGATCCACTGTAAAGCGAAATATTATATTTCTCAAGTTGATGATACTAATTTTTTCTTACGAAAGCCTAAATTTAGCGACAAAGATGCGTACTTTAAGTTAGTTTGGGAAAAATATAATTTCAAGCCTACACTGATAGATGGCGAGTACCAATATCTGGAAATTTGTAAGTGGAAAAGTACATATAACTTTATAAATCAAAGCATGGTTTGAAAAAAGATGCAATCTCAAGGAATTTATGTACAATTCAACGACTAGTCAGTTAGACATTTCTACCAGGGCTTGGATTGGCACAAATAATACTAAAGAGATGGCAAATACTTTCTTAAATATTGTTATAAATTGAAAATGTTTGACATACGATTAGAAGAAATTATTCAAGTCCTTGAGAAATAAAAAATTAAACACAAGCCAATGCATCCATCGAATGTGATTTCGATGAATCATTCTAACTTTTATACATAAAATCTTACGACACTGCATAAATAGTATTCATTATGCAAACCTTTTAGTTTCTACTTAATGGTCGAGTGAACGAAAGCAGAAGAAATAATAAGATGAAAGACATTTTCAGATGCGGCGTGCACACGCGGAACCTTTACATGAAATCTCACGGAAAATTGTAGAGAGAAAGAGAGCCGCGCGCGGAGTGCGAGAGTGATAAAGAGCGTGGGGAGAAAGCAAAGCGAAACTGCTCTTGCGCTTGGCGCTGCTGCTGCTTGCTATTTAAACCGCAAAAGAGACGAGTTAGCTCATTTCCACCTGCAGTCCCCTTTCTCTCTCATCCAGCAGCCACCCCCGCGCGGCGCCACTTCCCTCTTCTCGTCCGCGCACCGAGAGAAGAAGAGTATTCGCGCGCGAGCGCTTACATCCGGCTGCGTAAGCTCTCACCCGGCGCTGCGGCCTCGACTTTCATTTTATAATTAACGCTCAAAAGACTTTCTTTCACCTAGTTAATTTACAGAAATAAAAAGTAAAAATACTCGCGAGAAAAATGATTCAAAAATGTATCGCGTGTGAATGTATATTTAACGCGTATAAGTGCACTGAATAAACTTTTGGTTCTCAAGCACGTTAGCCACCACCCCTGGAAAATTCCTGCGGGTAATATGCATTTTGCCCGAGTGCCCTTTTTTTGTGTAAGCTTAGTCCAACAATGTACAAAGCGCAATTCTCTATAGCTCGAGAGCCCTGCGAAGAACTTCTTGATTTTATCTTGCGACTTTAAATTTTATACTCTTAGTCCGGAGAAATTTTTTACTTTGCACTATACGCGTGGAGTGTATATACGCACACCGCTTGTATTACGCGCCGCCTCTGTATATACTTTCTCGTCTCATGGAATTCGTTAACAACGTACAGAGAAGAGAGAAACGGAGAGAAAAAAGATAGAAGCAGTATTAAAAGTCGCAAGGCAAATGTCGCCAAAATTACAGTCCGTAATTCTAATTCAAGGATGAAGGAATGAAACTTTTTCGTGTTAA